TACAGAATTAATGCAATCCCTATCAAAATTCTACCATCATTCTTTACAGATTTAGAAAAAATAATTCTATGCTTCATCTGGAACCAGAGAAGACCTTGTGTAGCCAAAGCAATCTTAAGCAAAAGGAACAAATTGGGAGGCATCACACTGCCAGACTTCAAACTTAACTATAAGGCTATAGTAACCAAAACAGCATGGTAATGGCACCAGAACAGATATAAAGACTTTTGGAATAGGATGGAGATCGAAGATATAAAACCATCCTCATATTGTCATCTAATCTTCAACAAAGCAGACAAAAGTATACATTTCAGAAAAGAATCTCTAGTCAGTAAGTGGTGCTGGGAAAACTGAATATTCACATGCAGAAGACTGAAACTGGATCTCCACCTCTCACCTCTCACAAAAATCAATTCACGATGGACAACAGACTTAAACCTAAGGCGTGAAACTTTAAGAATTCTGGAAGAAAATGTTGGGAAGACTCTTTTACACATTAGCCTCGGTAAAGAATTTATGAAAAGAACCCTCAAAGCAATCACAGCAGCAACAAAAATAAATAAATGAGACCTGATCAAATTAAAAGGCTTCTGCACAGCCAAGGAAACTATCATTAGAGTGAATAGACAACCTACAGAATGGGATAAAATATTTGCTTTATATACATCTGATAAAGGGCTGATAACAAGAATCTATATAGAACTTAAGAAAATCAACAAGAAAAAAATCAAACAGCCCCACCAATAAATGGGCAAAGGACATTAACAGAAATGTTTCAAAAGAAGACAGACTAATGGCAAGCAAACATAAAAAAGTGTTCAACTGTAATCATTAGGGAAATGAAAATCAAAACTACAATGAAATATCACCTAACTCCAGTGAGAATGGGTTCTATCAGCAAATTAGTACAACCCCTGTGGAAAGTAATTTGAAGATACCTCAAACAGCTACAAATAGAAATACCATTTGATCCAGCAATCCCACTACTAGGCATCTATCCAAAAGAAAAACAAGACATTCTATAATAAAGAAATATTCATTCAAATGTTTATAGCAGCACAATTCACAACTGCAAAGACCTGGAAACAACCCAAGTGCCCATCAATACGTGAGTGGAGTAATAAAATATGGTATATGTATACCATGGAGTACTAAACTACAAAAACAATGGTGAACTATCACCTCTATATTATCCTGGATAGAGATTGAGCCCATCCTTCGAAGTGAGGTATCACAAGGATGGAAAAATATGCACCACGAGTACTCACCATCAAACTGGCACTGACTGACCAACACTAAGGTGCTCACACGCTAGTAACACTCACTGGGTGCCATTCAGATTGGGGAGGGTGAGGGGGTTGTGGCAGGAGCAAACGCACACTAATGGAAGCAAAGCACACTGCATGGAAGAGGGACAGGGCTTATAGCCTGCCTGGCAAAGCACATGCATTACATGTAACCAAATATTTGTACCCCATAATAATATCCTGAATTATTTTTAAAAAGTCAATGGGACAAAGGGCATTCAGCTCTTTTCATGGCGTTCCCCAAGCACTGAAGTGGTAATATTTGATATTGTACCACAAGAAATCTATAGATATTTTCTAGTTTCATTAAATACGTATGGAATAAGGTAGGTTATAATTATTCAGGTCCCTAAAATTGCTATCAGGATAATGTTTTTGCGCAACAAAATACTAAATTATTCAAATTCACCTTTTGCATTAAACCAGTACTCCACCTATTAAAAAAAAGCAAATGATGGGCCTGATGGAGCCCTATTTCTTTAGGTGACCAACTAGCACTAAGTGAGTTGACTACATTGAGCCCTTCAATCCTGGAAGGGCCGGGGCCATCCTTGCAGGACAGACGCCTATTCCACGGGTGGCTTTCCTCTCTGCCTCGGACCCTCAGGCAGCTCCACCACCCGGGGCTGTTGCATTTCTGATCCGGCAGGCTCGGAATTGCTCTCGGCACAGCACCCCACTGGGGACCCACTGCACAGGGCAGGCGGTGCAGCCTGGCCGTGGCCGCGGACCCCCTGCTCAAGCCACGGTCTGCGCCACCCGGGGGCTGCGGCCACTCAGCAGCCTGCTCGGCCTTGTAAAGGCTCAGCTCAGTGCCCGCCTCTGAGGACGCATCTGAGGCGGGCGCCATCCTTCAGGACACAGTGCGCTCACGGAGCCAGAGCCTCTCTCGGGTGTGTTCTCGGCAGGAAGGACACGTGGGCTCAGAAACCAAGGGGTGGAAGCGGGAGCGGCTCCCTGTGCCGTCGCTGAGACGCACCCACTGGGATTTGCACTTCCCATCTCTGAGCTCTGGCTCTGCAGGGTGGCAGGCCCTGGTTCCCAGCGAGGCCATCGGACTAGGGGGCAAACGAGAGCCACTGAGCTGCACTTTCCAGTTGCCACCAGGGCAGTTTGGACAGCGCGTGCCCAGAGACCAGCAGGTGAGAAGAGAGCCCGTCCCCTCCAGGCAGGGAGGGACCCTGACCCCCAGGAGGAGGCAGAGGCTGCTCCACACAGAGGGCAGGAGGAGACTGTGTGGAACCCAGGGACCACCTGGGCTTCGGCATCCCCTCGTCCCATTGTAAGTGTGTACCGAATCACCCGCAACCCAGCCTGGAGGGTTTCACCCTCACGGCCAGTCCCCTCCGAAGGAAGGTGTGAGGTCAAGCCAGGGAAGGTGCCAAGGGCCGTCCTGTGCTCTGAACCCAGCAGCGTTGGTGCAGAGGCCCTGCTGCCCACGGGCTGTCCCCAGACAGTGACGGGTCACAGCAGGGACACTGAGGCAGGCCCATTCCTGGGACACAGGGGACTCCTCTGATGGCCAGCTGAGGCTGGAGGACTCCTCCGTGGCCCTTGCTCAACTCCCTTAGGCTGCCTGTGGTCTAGGTGTGTCCAACGAACCTTCTCTCCAGCCTGCCACGTGGGCTCAGACCCGCACCTGGGTCTGCGGCTTTCCCAGGGTGGCCTGGTCCTCCCCAAGTTCTCTGCCAGGTGGGGCCCCTCGTGAATGCTGCTGAGTTTAGTCCCACCTTGTCATCTGCTTCTTGCAGGACTCGGACTAACAAAGTCATTTCCATCTGCACACACAGGACCTCTTACTTATTGCAGCTTGTAAAATCCTCTTCATCCAGCCTTTTTTCTCCACTTTGCTGATGATTGTATTAACTCTTTGAGTTAATAAATGTTTGTTGTTTTAAGCCACTAAATTTGGGGGTAGTTTGTTACAGAGCAACAGATACCTAACAAAGCTCTCTTAAGTTCCTAGTATTCCATAGGTATTATCTGCATCTCTGTTATTTCCTTGTGTTTTGCTAATGTGAGCTATACTTGCTGTTTCCAATTCCTCTCCTTCTGTTCTTTGTCTATTCTTGTTTGTCTTTTATCCTTCCTTCCTTCTTCCTTCTGTCCCTCCTTCCCTCCCTCCCTCCACTCTTTCCTTTTTACTTTGGAAGCTTCCTAACATATAAAACTACCCTGTGTGGATATGCTAAAAGGAAGTATCATTTTAATCTATAAGATAAGAGTTATAATGCTATAGTATGTGGGATAAAAGTGAGAAAAGGGAGTTACTAGTAGAGTCCTGAGGAAAAACGTCTGGTCATCCTGAAGCCGAGATAAGAGACTAAAACTGTTCATTCCTCACTTTCACCTGAGTGTTTTGAGAACACATGGGCAAGCTAAACTCTGCCACATTCCTGCTAAAAGCTAAATTGTACAAGCACTTTGGAAATAAATGGCTAAATAGGGTGTATTTTATTACCACTCACGACTATCTATTTCTCTTAACTTCTGTTTCCAACTGTGACCCAACTGAACACAAAGGTCCAGGCCATGCTAGGCTGATTCTGTGATGTCCCCCAATACCCACCCCTGCTTATTCACCTTCCCCCAGTCACTCAGTAGCCACTAGTGTAGGTGCTGCTGCGAAGGGACATGCAGATGTAACTAAGGTCCCAAATCAGTCGACTTTAAGACAAGGGACTACCCTGGATTGGACTATCTTTATCAGGTAAGTTTTTAAAAGGACTGGATTCCTCCTGGGAATGTGATTCCCAGCATGAGAGGGACTCAGTGTGAGTGATTTCCTTCACTTTGGGCTTTGAAAGTAGAGAGGCCGTGTGGCAGAGACTGCTGGGGGCACCAGGAATTGGGATCAGCCCCCCCCCCATCTCCACCCTGACAGCCAACAATGAAACGAGCACTGCAGTCCTACAACCAACGCCAGAAACTAAATTCTGCCCACAGGCTCCATATAAGCTTGGAGGAGGCCCCAACCTCAAGATGAGGACACAGCTTTGTGAAACCCTGAACAGAGAACACATCCACACCATGCCCGGATTTCTGACTAGGGAATAGTAAACAAATAAATGGATATGGTCTAAAGCCAATAAATTTGTGGTAATTTGTTATGTAGTAACAGAAAATTAATACACAGGCTCAATAGATGAGCACATAACATTTTTTCACTCAAATGAATTTATTGACTGACATGCAATTACTTGTATAAAATAAAATCTTACCTAAATTTTTTAGTATTTTTCGGTTTATCATTTTTATGTGATTAAATTTTACTACAATCATATTTTGTTCACTCATTCAGCAAAGATTAATTTAGTGCCTACTATGTACCAGTATGTCTTTACATACGGGGGATAGAACTTTGACCCAAACAGTCCAAAGCCCCTGTGCCCACGTGCCTTACATTCCAGAGGCTTCACAAGAGTGAAACCAACCCTTGGGAGCATTTTAAGTGAAGAAATGGCAGAATCTGACTCACATTAGCAGGACTGCTGAGCACTATGGGGAGGACAGCTGTGGGCAGCAGGTGAGGGGACAGTGCTAGTGCCACAGGTCAGGAGTGAGAGGCAGTGGGACTGAGGGAGAAGTGGCCTGAGGGATGACAGGGACAGAGGGAAGGGCTGGAGAAGCAGGAGCTGAGGAACAGGAGCAGAGGGAAAGAGTTCTAAAGCAGCAGAATTCTCAGATTTAAGCTCAGCATTTTATAGATTTTTAATATGCATATTCACAAGCCTAGCAGGGTGTTCTTTGCATTTGGTAATTAATATATTTGTGAGGCTGCCTAAAAACTAATTGCCTCCTAAAAGTTAATCGGGTTAAAAAAAATACCAAGTGTCCCCCCAAAATATACACACAGCTCAGATGTGAATAATTCATACAAACGGGCAAGGCGGAGCGCGGGTCAGGGACAGTCTGACTGAGCACGTGCGGCGTTGAAGGGATTAAAGTCCTAGAACTCCTGGTTGAAATAGACAGGAACGAATTGTGCTTCTGGGTATGAGGCGACGTCCTGGACTCACGCACAGACTCGGGGCTGTAGAACGAAGATAACTGTAAAATACAACTCAGAGTCCAAGACACACCGTCTGGGAAAGTAAAACTCGGGAGCGCTGTGAGTCTAACGCCTTTAGACACATTTACATACCGGGGGCCCAACCCACTTCTTTTACACCTCAGATTCCTGATCTTCCGGGGGTTACAAGACTGTGCTACCTGCTATATTTAGTAAGCAAAAAGGAAACTGGTCTCCACGAGTCTCTCTGTGGTGCATTTAGACTCACCGTCTGCAGGTTTACAGAGAAGCCCCGTCTCCACACCTCCTGTCCCGGGGCGAGCGCACCCGGCATCAAGTTCCCTGGGGTGAGTTCTTCTAGAAGAGTCGGGGGAGAGGAAAGGAGTGGGAGGCAGGGAGTCCAGTCCAGGGAGCGGGATTCCAGGGCGGGAAGTGAAGGCAGGGGCTGGGCCAGCCTGGCTTCCTCAGACGGCTTAGGGAGACAGTGTGACAAAGAGCCCTCTGCAGGACGAGGGGTCAGGGCACTGTCGCAGGGCCCGGGCGTGGCTCGCAGGGTCCGTCCGAGGGCGGGGTCCGGGGCGGGGAAGCTCGGCGCTGGGGCCTCCCCGTGTCCCGAGGTTCACTTCTCCCGGTCCCAGCCCGCGTCAGCTCCTTCTTCCCGGATACTGCTGACGCGGCCCCGGCTCTCACTCCCATTGGGCGCCGGTTTCTAGTGACGCCAGTCAGCGTCGCCGCGGTTCTGGGTTGTAAAGTCCCCACGGACCCGGCCAGAGCAAGAGTGAGACCCCCATCTCCACTAAAAAAGAAGGGAGAAAAAAAACAGCGGGGCGTTGCAGCACGCCTGTAGTCCCAGCTACCTGGAAGGCTGAGGCAGAAGGATCATTTGAGCCCAGGAGCTGCAGGTTGCAGCGAGCTACAAGGACGCCACTGCGCTTTACCCAAGGCAATGGAGGGAGTGAGTCTCTGTCTCAACAACAGAAACGCACCTGAGCACTCCTCCTCACAGCCCCCACCCCTATTTTAAGTTCAAAAAGAAAAAAATCCGTGTAACCAAAAACATTTGTACACTTATAATATTTTGAAATAAAAAAAGAAATTATTGCAAATTTTTCAGAAACAATAATAATACTGAGGTGGTTTTTTAAGAGCCTTTATCTTTTAGAGATACTGAAATATTTATGATGAAAATAATAGTATATTCATGGAGTTGTAAAACTATCACCACAATCTAATTTTAGAACATTTTCATCACTCAGAAAAGAAATCTTGGCTGGGCGTGGTGGCTCACGCCTGTAATCCTAGCATTCTGGGAGGCAAAGGCGGGCTGATTGCCCGAGGTCAGGAGTTCAAAACCAGCCTGAGCAAGAGCGAGACCCCGTCTCTACTATAAATAGAAATAAATGAATTGGCCAACTAATATATATAGAAAAAATTAGCCGGGCATGGTGGTGCATGCCTGTAGTCCCAGCTACTCGGGAGGCTGAGGCAGCAGGATTGCTTGAACCCAGGAGTTTGAGGTTGCTGTGAGCTAGGCTAACACGATGGCAGTCACTCTAGCCTGGGCAACAAAGCGAGACTCTGTCTCAAAAAAAAAAAGAAAAGAAAAGAAAAGAAATCTTATGCTCATTTGTACTTATACCCCATTCCAACCCCCAGCCCTAGGCAACCACTAATCTTTCTATCTCTGTAGGTGTGCCTATTGTGGACATTTCACTTACTTGTATTCATACCACATGTGGCTTTTTGAGTGTCTTCTTTCACTTAACAAAATGTGTTCAAGGTTTATCCATGTTGTAGCATGTATCAGTATTTCATTCCTTTTATTACTGAATAATATTCCATTGCATGGATAGACTATTTTGTTCACCAATTCACAACTGATAGATATTTTAGTTGTTTCCACTGAGGACTGAACTCTGATCTTTTTCTTTTGCTAAAAACTCCTTCCTAAGGAGGCCAGCTGGGTCAGGCTGACAAACAGTAAATTCCCACTAAGCGACGGTGGTTTACTTCCCAACCTGATTCTGGTATGGCATTAACATCACCTAAAAGATAAGAAGCCCCTGTCTTAACTCAAGCATCCTAGCAGATGCCTATTCCTAAATTTAAAGCATCTTAAAGCATCCTAGCAGGTGCCTATTGTAAATTTAAGAACGACCTCCCAGAGTGCTCACACCCTTATCTTAAAATAAGCATATCCTTTCTGGTCTTCTGGATGAAGTCTAACTCTCTCAGCCAATTGCCAGCCAAAGAATCTTTAAACCCACCTATAACCTGTAAGCCCCCGCTTCGAGATGTCCCACCTTTTTGGGCCAAACCAATGTATGCCTCTCATGTATTGATTTGTGACTTTGCCTGTAACCCCTGTCTCTCTGAAAATGTATAAAACTGAACTGTAACCCAGCCACAGCGAGCCCACTTGCCCAAGGCCTCTTGGCAGCGGCTCCAGGTCATGGTCCTCAAATTTGGCTCAGAATAAATCTCTTTATTTTTTATTTATTTATTTTTCTAGTGTCTGTCTTGTGTTAAGAATAAATCTCTTTAAAATTATTTTACAGAGTTTGGCTTTTTTCCATTGACATATAGATAATCCAGACTGCAAAACTGAAAGTAGACTATGTTCACTTACCATGGATAATGACAGTCTTACACATTCCCCTCCAAAGGAAAGCCTGGATTTCCCCAAAACCACCCCAGCATCTTGCCCACTCCCCAGAAGGAGAAAAATAAGTCCCAGCAAGTGCCAAGGGAAGGCCCAGAAGTCCCCTGGGTTCCCTCTGCCAAGGTGAGTGGTTTCAAACTATGACAAGTAGCAGGTTCTCCGAGAAGCATCTGTACCGACCTGGCAAATTAAGCATCCTCTCCTGGGAAGAGGAACAGAGAGATCTCTCACCACCCACACCTGTCTCCAGGACCTGGCTCTCCTGGGTCACAGGGGAAGCCACCTTGCAGTCCCCATCTCTAGAAAGGAGAGACAATCCACAAACATAAGCGAAGGCCCCCACCTCAGGGTTCCAGGAGCCCAGCTCTCCCCCCTATCACCTGCCCTCCAGACACACTGCCCTGCTACCCCCACTTCCCCAGGGGCTGTCAGGGACAGAAGGCCCCTCCCGCAGCCCCCCCAGTGTTCCTCCACTCCTCCCCCACCCCATCACTAGGGTGTCCGGGACATTGTGTGACTCAGGAAACAGCTCAGACGTGAAGCTTGCAGCAGGCCGAGGAGGAAGAGGAGGAGGAGGATGACGACGACCACGAAGGGGCAGTGGGAGCAGAGGAGGTGGCTCCCGCCTTATGAGGGCTCTGAGGGTCCCTGCCTGAAGGGGGACGGGAACCTGGGCTTGGAGCAGGGCTCTGGAATGCAGCCCCCTTCCTTGCTGCTGCTGCTGCTGCTGCTGCTGTGTTTCTCAGTTGCCTCGGCCAGAGGTAGGGCAGGGGCGGGGAGGGGTGGAGGCCGGTCTCCCTTAGGAGGATGTCCTGCGGCGTGGGGGAAAAGAGCCAAGCCCCAGGCTTTGAGAGGACATCGGATGGAGGAGATTCTCACCCCCCAAATAGGGACAGCCTGCAGGGAGACACGATTCCACCACTGGAGCTGCGGACCAAGGCTTTGGGCCTGGCGCCAGGGGTGGTGGCTGCTGGGGGGTGGGTGAGAAGGTGCCCACCCCCAGGGGGAAGGTAGTCGGCCCTGGAACCAAGAGGCAGAGGACTCTTGCAGCCACACTGAGGGGCCTCACAGAGAGGGAACAGATGCCCCGTCCCCGCTGTGGAAGAGAGGAGAGCGAAGCAGGAGATGGAGACATGAAGGCCAAGAGCCCAAAGTCCCTCCCTGGTCCAGCTGTCCCCACCCCCCATGGCTTCACCCTGGGCCCTTCCGGGAGGAAATCCCTTCCAAGCCTCAGCAGTTCACCTCCAGGTGCCCCTGGGCCCCTCCAGATCCCTGTTGTCTTGCTTCCCAGGGACAGGGCCTGAGGCCCAATGGGAGGCCAGAGCATAAACAGGAAAGGGGTGGGGTGCAGGGGCTGGAGAGGGTATGAGGAAGAGGGTGGTGTGGAGCACCTGTGGGGCTTCTCAGGCCTCCCGGGAGCACCTGGAGGAGGCGAGGCGAGGCACAGCGCCCCTGGCTCACCTCCCTCTCCTCCCTAGGGCTGCCGTGCGGGAGTCTTCCCGCACCCTGTGCCAACGGAGGCGCCTGCCTGAGCCTGCCTCAGGGGCAAGGGGCCTGCCAGTGAGTGTGGCTCCCGGGGGAGTGGGAGGAGAGATAAAGGGGTGGCAGGGTAGGGAGGGAGAGGTGGCGAGGTGGGACCGAAGGAGAACCAGAGTGAGGTGAGCGAGGGGAGGAGGGAGGTGGGAGGGAAGGAGAGGGGCCGATGCCATCGGCTTTCCTCCCCCACCCCCACACAGGTGTGCCCCTGGCTTCCTGGGTGAGACGTGCCAGATTCCTGACCCCTGCCAAGACGCCCAGCTCTGCCAGAATGGGGGCAGCTGCCAAGCCCTGCCTCCCGCCCCCCGGGGCTCCCCCAGCCCTCCCTCCCACTTGGCCCCCGGCTTCTTCTGCACCTGCCCCCCTGGCTTCACTGGGGAGAGATGCCAGGACCGGCTCAAAGACCCCTGTCCTCCCTCCTTCTGCTCCAAAAGGGGCCGCTGCCACATCCAGGCCTCGGGCCGCCCACAGTGCTCCTGCATGCCTGGGTGGACAGGTGAGTGCCGAGGAGGGTGGCAAGGAGGGGACAGGCAGGAGCAGTGGACAGGGCAGAGAGGTGGGGAAGATGGAACTGCAGTCTGTGAGGCTTTGAGGAGCCCTTTGAGGACAGCCATGAGAACCAACGTGCCAATTCTTGGTGACCCTCTTACCCAAGATTGCCATTCACCAGTAAGGGTGTGCGGATTGCTAAAGTGTTGCACTATTTCCAAACCGAGGGTGCCATTAGCCCCCTGTGTGTACCATCCGGATGCCTCTCCTGGCCCCTCAATCTCCCCTCTCCGTGTCAGCAAGAGGGTGATTGCCCAGCGCGCCCCCAGCGCTCTGCACTCTGGGCATCTGAATGGCGCCATTCAGAGTGGGGGTGCCCACAGTGCCCCCCGAGAGACTGCAGGGGTGGGAGGTGTGATGGAGACAGGAGGGATGGCACCCAGGGAGAGGAGTGGGGCCGTCCCAGGAGACAAGTGTAACCTGGGGCGAGCGCAGTGCCGCGGAGTAGGGGTTCTGGGGCAGCCCCGATCCCAGTAGCGGCTCTGCCACTGACCAGCTGCGCCCTCGCGTGAGCTATTCCAGCTTCCTGGGTCCTCATCTGTCCGCTGGCACGCAGAAACCAGTGCCCACACTTGCCAAGGCTGTTTGAAGGGCGGAGGGGCTGACGCGCAGGAAGGCCTGCTTAGCTCTGTGCCTGACGCGTGGTGCGGGCCGCGGCCCCTCGCTGCCGCCGTCACCACGCGGGCTGTGACGTGAGTCTCGGTGACTAAACCCACCTAAAGATTAGGAAGTCGGCATCAGAGAGGCAAAGCCACTCACTCAAGAGCATAAACCAGCTGCGGTCCCACAAGGGGCCACCTGAGTCCCCTGCCTGCAGGTGCTGGTGCTTCCTGCCTCCCCAGGGACGTCACCACTGAAGGGACCCCCATCCCAGATTTTCCCAGACAGGGCCAGTTTGCAATGCTGCCATCGCCAGGTACATGTCCTATTTTCAGTTTAGAAAATATGGTCAC